CTAGACTTTCTCCAAAGCCACAGGCCAAATTTCCAGGCTGCTTAACACAAAACAGACTTCAGCAAAGGGAATGAAAGCTTTTAACAAATGCAAGAAGAAATCTTGGGACGGTTATTCTTGGAAAATAAAAAAGTTAAGCCAGAGGAGAAATAAAAAAGGGACGAAAAGGAATAGTACAGTTATAGTAGAAGAACTGTAGAGTCCCCTCCAGAAGTCAAACAGCTGTTTTCCAACTTTCTTCCATTTAAATTGACCTCACCTTGGAAAAACATTTCCCTGCCTCCTGAGTGTGCACCAGACTACTGCAAGTAGTTCAAGGTTGTGAGATGTCGGGAGAGTATGTTGTGCTGTAGGTTCTAGATTGGAGCTTGTAAAGAACAGCTGTTTGTAACACACTCACCAAAATGTGCCCACACTGTCCAATGGCGTGTATGTGACTGTAACCCAGCCTACACTTATGCAATCTGGTTAGAAAGCATTCTGTAAGAGCCTCTGAGATGGACAACAGAAAAGAGTTTTCTTCAGTCGTCTGTGATGACTCTGATAAATGAAAAGCTCTGACTTGCAACATGGGAGGAGCAGAGGGCTGTAATATTCCCCATGCAGCGCACCGGTGCTGCTGCCACAAGTTGAGGCGAGGCAGGTGGGGGGGGGATGGAGCTGCCCCACGCACCCCACACCTGCTTACCTCGGGGCCCCTGCAGCCAGGCCACTCTCCCCTCGGTGACCTCCCCCTGCCCATTCAAGAACCGGCTGCCCACCCGCCTCTTTGCGTTTACTCCTCTCCCGAGCCGGACTGCCATGCCACGGAGGGTGGGCAGAGGGGAGGCTCCGTCGCCTTTCCCGGTCCCCCTCGGTCGTCCTGGAGCCAGGGGGGAGTGGTGGTGAAAAGTCTCCACCGCCACTGCAGATCAGCCACGTCCGCCCCTGGAGGGGCTTCCTTCGGTCCCCGCTGGCCCGGCCCAGCCCCCCCCCCACAGATGACTTGCCCAGCAGCGGCTGCTTCCTCCGCCGCCGCCTGCCGCTTGGGTCCTGCAGTGCTGTGTCGCGCTGCCTGCTGCCCGATCGCTGCTTGTATTTTATGGTTTCAATGGCGGCAGCTCTGGAAGCCGGTGGTAGGCTCTCTGCATCATCCCTGGGCCGCTGGTTTTGGCCGCCGGCCACCTTCGCGGCTCTGCGGGAGAGTTGGCGGCTGGAGTCACCGCAGAGTTGGCGGCTGGTATAACTCTCCCACGGCTGTGTGGGGAGAGCCGTGAAGGTGGCCAGTGGCCCAAACCACCGGCCCAGGGACGATGCGGAGAGCCTACCACCGGTTACTATTAGCACCGTGCTGGTTACTAGTAAGGGAAGAGGCAGGTGGGCAGCCAGGTCATTGGGCGGGGGAAGGTCACCGAGTAGAGACTGGCCTGGCTGTGGGTGCGGGGCGTGTGGGGCAGCTCCATCCCCCCACTTGCCTCACCTCACCTCGCGGCGGCACCGGTGCAACACTCTCCTGCCTCGTTGCGGCAACAAGCAACTAGACAATGGGTTGGCGTGCGCAGGCGGCTTCAAAATCAGACATCCCCCGAAAATAAGCCCTAATGCAGTGGTTCTCAACTTGTGGGTCGGGACCCCATTTGGGGTCGATCGACCATTTCATGGGGGTCGCCAAGCAAGGCTGTCCGCCATTTTTTTTGTCCACCATTTTTCCCCCTTTTCCGGCGGGTGCCTTACCTCCCTTGGGCTGGGCCAGCTGGTGGTCGGCCTGCTCTGTCTCTGCCGCTTGCCAGCTACGCCTCGGCCGGCGCAGGGGGCGGAACCACGCATGCACGGCGCTCCCGGGCAGGGAAAGTCCTCGACTTACGACCGGTTGGGTAGTCCTTGACTTACGACTGGTTTAGTCCTCAACTTACGACTGGTTTAGTCCTCGACTTACGACCAGTTTAGTCCTCGACTTACGACCGGTTGGGGTTGCGGCATTAAAAAGGTTGAGAACCACTGCCCTAATGGGTCTTTTGGTCCAAAAATATATATATAAGACCTGGTCTTATTTTTGGAAAAACACGGTATTTCCATGGGCCCTTTGCACTATATGTCTTGTGCCTAACAAAAGGCACCAGACCAGTATTCAAAGAAATAGCTGCATTCAGCTGGCTATACAGAGGCAGAATCTGGAAACAGCAGCAACTGAAATTGTGGAAGAGAAGAAAGGGCCCCTGGCACCAGGGCATCTGCACTGAAGGTGGGTAGAGAGAGGCTGGTCATCCCTCAACACACACACACACACACACACACACACACACACACACACAGAGGGATGGTGTTCCTGAAAAAATGAAGATGTGATTCTGCGCTTGTTTCGCTGCATGTTTCCCCTCCCCAGTCACATAACTTTCACCACAGTGAATTTTTTTATGTACACAAAGCCTCTGGCCACAATATTTCTGTTTCCTTCACTTTCTCTGCCTTGCAAATGTGTCAGGTTTGGTTTATTGAACTGGTCTCATGCTTCAAATGTGTAAGAATGTTGGACCATGTTTCCCCAACCATCTGTATTTTTCTTTGGAGGTTTGCAAAGAAAGACAGTTTTGGGCTTGCAAAGGTAAAATTCCAAAAAAAAACCTCCCACCCAAATCACTGCAAATACCATTAAAGAATAGAGCAGGAGGGGACCTTGGAGGTCTACTAGTCCAGCCCCCCGCTCAAGCAGGAGGACCTGACAAGTGACTGTCCAGTCTCTTCTTAAAAACCTCCAGTGATGGAGCACCCATGACTTCTGGTGGCAAGCTGTTCCACTGGTTGATTGTCCTCACTGTCAGAAACTTTCTCCTTAATTCCAGGTTGCTTCTCTCTTTGATCAGTTTCCAACCGTTGTTTCTCGTCCTTCCATCTGGTGCTTTGGTGAACAACCTGGCCCCCTCTGCCTTGTGGCAGCCCCTCAGACACTGGAATATTGCTATCATGTCTCCCCTGTTTCTTCTTTTCTTTAGACTAGCCAAACCCAAGTCCCGTAGCCTTTCTTCATATGTTTTAGATCATCTTAGTTGCTCTTCTCTGAACTTTTTCCAAACTCTCAACATCTTTTTTGTGATATGGTGACCAAAATTGGTTGCAGTATTCCAGGTATGGTCTCACTAGGGCTTTATAAATACTTCACATGATCAACTTTATTATTATTATTATTATTATTATTATTATTATTATTATTATTATTATTATTATTATTATTATTATTATTATTATTATTATTATTATTATTATTATCATCATCATTATCATTATCATTATCATTATTATTATTATTATTATTATTATTATTTAGTATCAATCTTTTTTAAAATGGCTATGCTGGAAACAGAAAAGAATATGAAACTTTGATTTTGGTTTTTGATGATTAGATTAGATTGTTGTTATAGAAATCGCTAATATTTGCTATACAGATAAAGGAAAAACTTGAGGCTTTATTTTGTATTTTATTGCACCATTGTTTCTCCCCTTCTTATCTCTCTCCTTCTTCCTCTTTCTGTTTCCCTTTTTATCCCTATCTGTATTTTAAATTATAAATAAACTTCAATAAATTATAAATTAAATTATAATAAACTTCAACAAAACTAAAAAGAAATCCTTTACAAAATGGGAAGATAGACGTTGTTGAGGTGGTGTGTGTGATGCACTTTGCCTTGTGTGAGCCACACAACAGCTCCCAAAGTGTTTGCAGAGGATCAAAAAGGGAAAACGGGGGACTACAAGCCCAGCTCCCTTTTGACCTGCTTCCTAGGGGGGGGGCATAAGAAGAGGTGGGGCTTGGATGGTGAGAGGGTGGCTGCCATCTTGACTTTGTTGACCCCTTCCCTGTGGAGCCCCCCTCCTCCCAGTACACCCCCGCACATTGCTTGCTTAGGGCTTCATTGTTGGCAATTCTCAGAACTGGAATGTGGTAACACAATGGCTGCGAAGTGTGGTTTACCCACAACGTCACCGCAAGAGGCACCTGGAAGCTGAGCATCCCCTGAGCTGAATTCAGGGGGACCCAAAAAGAGCCAATGGGAAGGAGGGGAAAACAAACAGTCACACCCTCTTTGGTACACAAACTGCACCTGAATGCAAACAAAGGCAGGGAAAGGGAAATCCAATATGCCTTGCAGCAATTTTAGGCAAAGCCCTCCAGGGTTCCAGTTTCTGTGGGGCGGGGGGGGCGGGGGGAGGCTGCTGCCAGCCCTGCAGAGGAAGACCTCACCTTTTTGCAAGGGGGGGGCTTTGGGGGGCAAAGAGGTCAAAGCTGTTTGCTGCAATTACTTTCCTCTCTGCAGGTGCCCTGTGGGGATGGCCCTGGGAGGGGGCAGTGATGCTGCCTAGGGAAGGGCTACTAAGGGGCCTAGTCTGGCAGCTGCCCAGTGGGCGGAGCTCCAGGAGGGATCTTCTCTAAGTTCTTGGGCTGTAGAGGATCCGGCGGGAGGCAAGATTCTGACAATGCCCCTTGACCACAAAATAGAAGGAGCTTATCTAGCCACGGTGTGTCCAGCTTGGAAAGGCTGAGATGGCCGAGGGTCGGAGTCTTTCTATGAATCGGGCTGCAGGGACCGTCCATGCTGCTGCCCCACAGCAGACCTTCCTGGGTCTCTTTGCAGGGCTGGGCCTGGCGCCTCCAGGCTTTTGTCCTGGGGACGTTGAACGTCCATGCTTTGGCAGAGAAATCCAAAGAGGTTCAGATGTTCCTGGCTGCCAAGCCACCACGGTCATCCCAGCCCCACTCCAGGGGGGCAGGTGGTCTGGCGATGGAGACCTTGACGCCCCTGTCCTGCCATGCTCAGATCACTTTCTGCTCAAGCTGCTATGACCACCCTCCCTCATCCCTCTGAGGATGGCCTGTCCCAGGACCTGGCGGGTCTCTGGACAGTTTCCCCAGGGCAGGTGGGTTTCCCAGCCATCTTCCCGGCAGGTCTGCGAAGCATCTGGAACTGCTTCTGAGTGGCCTTTTTCCAGCCACCAGACGTGAGTCCAGAGAAACGCAAGCAACTCACCATGGCGAAAGTGGGGAAACTCAACGTCAACCACCCGGAGTGATGGGTGTCCTACATTTCCCACGTAGAAAACTACCTCCGCGCCAACCAGGTCGCCGAAGATGGACTGAAGGTCGCAACCCTCCTCTGCGTGTGCGGCCCCGCCACCTTCGACATTGCGGAAAACCTGGTCACCTCGATGCCACTTGAGTCCGTTACCTACGCAGACTTGAAGAAAAGGCTCCAAGACCATTTTGAGCCAAAATTACCCGTGATAGCATGGAGGCACGCTTTTGAGCAGCGGGAGCAACAACCCGGCGAATCGGCCACAGAATTCATTGCCGCTCTTTGTCAAGCGTCCCGACTCTGCAATTTCACAGATTTGGAGGAGAGACTAAGGGGCCGTCTAGTCTGCGGCCTCCGGAATCGAGAGCTCCAACAAAAACTTTTTGCTAAGGAGACTCTCTCGCTACAGGAGGCCTTGAAGGAGGTCATGGCGGACGAAGCCGCTGGAGGGACTGTTAAAGTGCTGCGGCCCTCCAAAAGCACGTCAAGCACCGAAGCAGTCCACCACGAGGACGCCGAGCAAAGGGAATACACTGACTCAGACTACGAAGTCGACAAGCTACAGAGGCACCAAGAGAAGGGACCGAGACCAGCTGACAAGGCAGTTCCGTTCCTTAGGTGCATGGGTTGCGGAGGCTGCCATCAGCGCGCAGAATGTTGTTTCCGTACAGCAACGTGCTGGGTGTGTGGCAAGTCAGGCCACATTGCTGCTGTCTGTCGAGGTCGCCAGAGGGACCGTCCACAGGAAGACTCAATCAGGAGAGGTACCAGGGCCCCGGGGCAACACCGAGTAGGGTTCTGCGCCAGCCGAAGGAGCGTTCTCCGCACTGGTGCCCATTGCCCCCTTAAGCCGAAGCTTCAACTCCAAGTCAAGCTTCAGGGAGTTCCATATAAGATGGAACTAGACACAGGCTCAGCCATGTCCATTATCTCTATAGGAACATTTAGGCACATATGCGGCCGCAGCAATAGATGGATCAAACTTTGGCCATCTAATTTAATGCTCCAAAACTCCCAAGTGGTGGCCAAGGGCGAAGCCACAGTTCTAGTGAATTTCAAGGGGTTTGCAGGCCCACTTGATGTTGTTATAGTAGAAGGCCAATGCACGAGCCTCATAGGGCTCGATTGGTTCGACGCTTTGGGCATTCAAGTAACCGGCATTCACCGGACACAAGCGGTGGATTTGTCTTCAGTCTGCCAAGAATTCTCAGATGTTTTCAGTTCATGCCTAAGGGCGTACAAGGGTCCTCTGATAGCCTTCAAGCTTGATCCTATGGTAATGCCAATACGGATCAAGCCTTGTCGAGTGCCTTTTGCTTTAAAACAAAAAATCGACACAGAGCTGGACAAGCTGGTAGTCAGGGGGTATTGCAGCCCATAGACAGAGGGAAGTGGGAGACCCACATAGTAACACCACTAAAGGCCAACAGGGAAGTGCAAATATGCGCTGACTACAAATGTACCATTTGCCGGGCACTTCAGCAGCACACCTACCCTGTGCCAGTTGTCAGCCATATTTTGGCGTCATTGCAAAGTGGCCGCGTGTTTGCCAAATTAGATTTGGCACAGGCCTACCAACAGCTGCCGGTGGACAAGGCCATGGCAGCTGCCCAAACCATCATCACCCATCGGGGGTTTTCAAGGTCAAGCACCTACAGTTTGGGGTGAGTGTAGCCCCAGGGATTTTCCAGGGAGTAATGGAGCGAACGCTCAAGGGCATTCCAGGGGTCTGCCCATATTTCGATGATGTTCTCATCGCCGGACAAATCGCAGAGGTCCTGGCTGAATGGCTTAGAGCCGTCCTTCAACGGTTCCGTATAGTGCGACTCAGATTAAAGGGGGAAAAATGCGATTGGGGTTGAGTCAACGGAGTTCTCTGGGGTTCCGCATCGATGCTGACGGCATCCATCCGGCGGACTCAAAGCTGAAAGCGATTCAGCAGGCCCCAAGCCTGAAGTCCAAGGGAGAGCTTCAGGCCTTTTGGGGCCTTCTTAATTTTTACCATGCCTTCCTTCCAAACAAGGCCGCTGTGGCAGAGCCGTTACACTGGCTCTTGGACAGACAAGCCCAGTGGAAGTGGACCAGCATCCACGAAAGGAGCGTCCAAGCAGGTCAAATCACTGCTATCCTCGAACTCTGTACTCACACATTTTAACGAAAGGCTGCCAGTCTGCATTGCATGTGATGCATCTCCGTATGGGGTTGGGGCTGTGTTGAGCCGTTTGTCGGCTGATGGGAAACAGTCTGTCATTGCCTACTATTCTATGACCCTGTCGTCCGCAGAGCGCAACTACGTGCAAATTGATGCTTTGGCAACCGTGGCTGAAGTTAAAAAATTCCACGACTACTTGTACGGTCACCAGTTCAAGGTCTTTACAGACCACAAGCCACTCCTAGGGTTATTCACTACGAACAAACAGACACCCCAGATTCTGTCGTCTCGAACATTGAGGTGGTCTATTTTTCTGTCAGCCTACAACTACAGGCTGGTTCACAAACCAGGCAAAGAAATAGGCCATGCAGACGGCCTTAGTAGGTTGCCCTTACCACATGTAGAGCCAGCTCCAGCTCCAGCTGCACGCATCCTGGCTATCCAGGATCTGCCAGAGTCTCCCCTTCACGCTGGGGATGTAGCTGCTGAGACAGCAGCTGACAAAATACTGAGTCGCGTATTGAATTGGGTGCACACCGGATGGCTAGACAAATGTCCAGGCCCAGAATTTCAGAACTTTTTCATGCGGAAAGATGAGCTTTCAGCTCATAAAGGGTGCATCCTTTGGGGAAGTAGGGTCATAGTTCCCAGCTCGTTAAGACCCAGAGTGCTTGAGTCTCTGCACGAGGGCCATCCGGGAATAGTCCGGATGAAGGCACTCGTGAGGAGCTACCTTTGGTGGCCTGGGCTAGATAAGGCTATTGAAGCCCAAGTACATGGTTGCATCACGTATCAACAGTCCAGACTGGAGATGCCGCAAGCCCCTGTCCACCGATGGGAGGACACTCACACACCATGGTCAAGAATCCACATTGACTTTGCCGGGCCCTTTCAGGGACAGCTGTTTCTAATAGTGGTCGATAGCCATTCAAAATGGTTAGAGGTTGCACCAGTTCCCAATATGACTACTGCCAGGACTATCCAGGAACTGTGCAGAATCTTTGCAACACATGGGCTTCCAGACATCTTAGTATCAGACAATGGGGCTCAGTTTACTGCTTCAGAATTCCAGTCCTTCCTCAGGACAAACCTCATAAGGCACGGCACGTCGGCTCCCTTTCACCCGGCCTCAAACGGCCAAGCGGAACACATGGTCCGCACAACCAAGGAGTCCCTAAAATGGATTGTCACAGGAAACTGGCACCACAGATTGGCAGACTTTCTATTCTGCCAGTGTACAACTCCCTGCACAGCCACGGGCAGAAGCCCAGCCGAGCTACGTTAGGGCTGACGTTTGATCACTAAGCTAGACAGGCTCCACCCTGATCGAGTTGCATCGGACTCTGCATGGCCAAAGGCGCTCAGAAGTCTGCAAGTGGGTGACCGGGTTTGGACCTGGAATTACGGGCAAGGGGCTTTGTGGGTGGCAGCAGTGGTTGTAAAGGTGTCAGGGCCACTTTCCTACAAGGTGGTCCTCAAAGATGGGCAAGTCATTTGCCGGCACATTGATCAGCTGCGTCGGTGGCTGGCGGATCAGTAATCAGCTCAGGACTCCCAAGAGGGCCACACAGAGGGCCCACACGACAGCGGTCCAACAGAAGGGTTTGCACGCTACGACAGAACCCTCCCTCAAGGAGACGGGGGAATGGCCGTAGTAAAGCCTCTTCCGGATGCACAGACTGCATCGGCTGAACAGGAGAGGCAAACGGCACTGAGAGACAGCCCTGCAGACTTTGCTGCATGAGTGGACTTTGGTTTGGGCCGACCGGGACTGGCCTGCCAAAGGGATTCGAGTCAAACCGACTCCACTGAACCTCTGAGTCCTGGTCTACCCAGCCTGGCAGGCAAGCAGGTAGACCAGGGAACCCCGGCAACCCTTAGGTGTTCTGAACGGTCAAGAAGGCCACCTAAATATCTGCAAGATTATGTCAAACAATTAAGGATTTGAACTGTCTAAGGGGAAGGGGTGTAATGTATTGGTCACAACTGTTTTGAATCACTTGCTTAATGTCTAATCACTTGTTTGAATGTCTGACCTAGATTATGTTGTTCTGTAACGGCTGCTGTTACTTAAGCCAGACTTGCTGTCTTCAGGCTGGTAATTAGGTTTTGGGCAGGAAACTGTTACTTTAAACCTATTGGCTGCCGCCTGGAGGCAAACCATATAAATAGCTGCACAGCAGCTATTTGAGCTGCTTCTGTTCAGAGATAAATAAACTTGTTGCTGTTTCAACAATCGTCTTCTTAATGCCTTCAAGAACTGAATCTTCTTTAGAATAGAATAGAGCTAGAAGGGACCTTGGAGGTCTTCTAGTCGAGTCCCCTGTTCAAGCAGGAGACCCTACCATTCCAGACAAACAGTATGTCAAAACCCCTCAAATGTATTTGCCTTTGCATTCACCTGTTTCATTTATTCCTTTCCTGCTTGTGCTTATGTATTCATTTTCGGGGCTGCCATTCTGTTGGGAAGGTGCTTGCATGGGGAGGGGGATGTTATCTGCTCTGCTCTGTATGGGATGCTCTCCATCTTGGTGAGAGGAATGCAACCTGAAAACATCTGCCTTATCTCTAGACAATGGAGCCTGGGACCGATGGGAGACCAATGGAAGACCTTGAGAAGCGTGCTAACTCTCCAGATTCTCATAACATGGTGACACCTGTGGATTGGCGGGATTTCAGTCAGATGGTTGGACACTGGGGGGAGGAGTTCTGAATTGGCTTTTTGATGTAATCCTTCACGCGCCAAATCTTTAGACCTTGCTTTGCTTTCTAGCCATCACTAACTCTCAATAAAAGTTACTTTTGAAACGATGCCTGTTTCAAGAGTTCTGCTTTCTCGGGAGATCTAGTTGAGGCAGATACTTACATAGTTGTCTAGTCTCTTCTTGAAAACCTCCAATGATGTAGCAGCCACAACCTCTGAAGGCAACTTCTGTTCCACTGGTTAATTGTTAATTCTTTCAAGGAGGAAGAGACCTTTGGCCAGGTATCCTCTAAGACGCGGTCTTGCCTCTTCCTGCTTTTAGGAATGGGGGTTCCTTGATTCTTTTTTTTTTCATCAAGAGTCAACCCACCATTTCTCCCCACTTTTGGATGATCGGGGCAGTTTCGGCCACATGGTTTGGCCTGAGAGTGGGTCAGCCAGGAAACCCTTGCGAATGAGATGGTGGTGGAGAGGGAGGACCATGAAGTCCTACGTGAAGATCCCATTGAGCTGGATGCTCCGGTAAGTAGCAAGTTGATCAGGTCCTCTCTGTGTGTTTGAAGTGTCTCCTCAAAAGCCTTTTCCCCGACTGGGTGTGAGGTGGGGGACTCTTTCAGGCACAAATGCCGTTTTTGCCCCAGATCAGGGCAGTCAAGCACCCTGGCTCTCTTTCCCCTGACTTTTGCGTAGCATGATGCAATCTTCAGCCTGGACCTGTGGAAAAAAATCTGGTAAAGCAGACCTGATTTGGGATAGGCACCTCTTCCGAACGTTTGCCTACCAGAGTTGTGGGTGCTCCATCACTGGAGTTTTCAAGAATAGACTGGAAAACCATTGGACCGGAATGGTATCTCCTGCCTTGAGCAGAGGGTTGGACTAGACTCCAAGGCCCCTTCCAGCCCTGGACTTCTGTGTTCGGTAAGGGGTCCTTGGTGCTTTCTGAGCTTGCTTGTTTTGTTGCAAACGTTTCATTGCCCAAACT